TAAATTTCAATTGATAAAAAAGATGTAAGAGCAAAAAAACCCAATCTCGAAGCACTTGAGATGTGAATTTCAATACACATTAAGGTGCATTTTTCTGATAACAGTGAGAAGGAATGTGTGTAATAACATTTTTGTAATATGAATATATTGAAAAGTGGAACTGATGAGTTGATATTTCTGTATAGATATGCTGATGGAAGGAATTCTCATTTTCAATCAATCAACTGCCATTATGTTGACATCTTCCTTCATTTTCGTCACTTTGCAAAACATTGTCAGTACATGTAAATATATTTGGATACAAACATTCGATTTACTACGAATAATTTAGGTTCATCGGTAATTTTATACGACATATGAATGGTATGTTCACTTTTAAGATGTCTTTTTGTGTCAAAGTTTTTAATAATCTGAATTTCGAGATCAATTTGGGTCATAGGTTCATTTCTTTTCGGTAAGGTACTTGAAGATTATTCCAAAAATATCCTCAAAAACCTAGGTGTCGATGAGAATCTCTTCCGAACATTTAATGTTTGCCAACTTTAAATTACTAAAATGATAAAGTCTTGTTTAAACAGAAAATAAGTTTAAAATAACAATTTCATTCTTATCAACTTTATATAGCTTCATATTTCAAGCGAAGTGATATAAAATTTTATCATTGAATTGATGTTCTGTTTTGTATTTTGTTGTTTAAGTTATCAAAAGAAAAAAAATATTTGCACACATGTGAAGTTTTTCTTTAAAACGGAGAGATACGCAGACTGTGTGTTTTATGGAAACACCTATTTGGAGTAAAGTTTGAAATTCAAAGAATGATTTTATGATGAAATTATTGTTAATTAATCAATACCCAGAATTTTAATTAATGTTTAAATGATGAAATGTTCATTAATTAGCAAGCAATTCCAATTTCACACAAAATTAACCTCAAAAATTGATCAAACCTTATTTATTTCAAAATGTCACGTTCTTTATAACTCCTGATTCTATTCATGTATAAAATCATTGCTCAAAGAAAGTATCTACGCAATTTCAGACATTAAATGAGGAGTAATTGAGCGAGAATATCAAGTTTTATGTCACACAAATTTTATTTTTTACGTTGTTTTGTTTTGGTTCTGAAAATTGATTTAAAATTGTCAATAAATCGGATTGAATGTCGAATGTGCTGTATATGTATGCAGTGGTTTAGATTACGTGGGATATTATGTGACCTATGGTATGGTAATAGAATCTTTATTGTTATTTTTCAAGTTTTGAGTATTTTTTGTTCAATGAATTTCACTCATGGTAGATCTTGCTGATTTTTGGAAAGATGTCAATGTGGGTTAAGCTTTGAATATAGTTTGTGAATTATAAATAAACACAGAAAACTCAAAAACTAACCATAGGAAATGTTATTTCTTCCCGTTCTAAATCTATTATTGTCAATCATCATCACCAAAATAAGAATAGAAGATTCTGCGTGCCAAACAAAATAAGATTTATTGACATACAATATTCAATTTACAGTTCTTCAAGAAGATTGAGTTGGATTTCATCTTCAATTTCTTTTTTAACGGGAAATTTCTATCAATTCTCAATTCTAATGACTCACTCAATTAATGAATGAATGCACCTTGTACATAAACTCGTACTAATACATATTAATATCCAATGATCCAACGAAATTCCTTTGACATTACCGATTTCTTATTTGTTAAATATATTTTGTCAATCGTGAGCAAATAAATTGATACCGATAAGAATCCGCTTTTAACTTATGTGCTTCATGACATTGACGTGTAAAATTCCAAAAATATTTACAACGTAAATACCAAAAACCCGCATCTTATATCTTAGTAAGGAATGAAGAAGAAAATATTAGCAGTAAAAATCCAAATACGGATCAAGGTCTGTCTTCTTCAGCGTGAAGTATGTTTGTTGTGTATTGCAAATACGTTTATTTAGATCACCCACGTAATATTTTACGATAATGCTAATGACTTAAAGGAATTTATAAGAATTATTTTCACTTCCAGTGCTAAAAAGGTCAAAGAAATGAGAAGTCAGAGACGAGAGACGACTGTCTGAATAAATTTTGTTGCTTAAATAAATGTTCATGAAATGTTAATTAAGAATGCTAAAAGATGGGAATTTGGAAGTAAATTTGAGAAAAAATAAAATAAAGAAGAAGACAATCAACAAACAATTGGCGCACAAATACAACGACTCGAGTATGTACACAAAAGAAGTATGTAAGAATCTACTAAAGTGAGCGGTTAGGAAACAACAAACAGCTGTCATATGCTCCTTATTATTTTACGTGTATGTTCATTCCACTTTTTCTTCTTGTTGCGTTTTCCTTTTCGTTTTATGATGAATTTTTAAAGTCCCTACATGATGTTCTCGTATATAGGAAGGAAGTGAATGAGTATATATCCGCAATAAGAAGATCAGAAACGCATTTTTGTTAAGTAATTTTGCTGAATCGTTTTGGACTGAGGGATGTAATTATTCTAATGCGAACTTATTGATTATTACGGTTCATTAAGATTTAAAAAATAACGATGTTTTTGAATTTGAATTGTAGCTAGGAAAAATTCAAATTTCCAAATAACTGTAAATTGAGACAAAATGCTTAAAACCCCATTTCTAAACATCAAAGTAATAAGCTAATAAAAAGGCGCGTTGAGAACAAAATGAGCCATGAACAAGAAAATTGGGTTTGATAGAATTACAGATAGTTTCAAATAGAAAGTAGTAGATATAACAAAGGATAGACAGGTCATGCGACATAACCTACATCTTCTATGTGTTAAACCGAATTTCATCCTTGACCTATGGACATTGACTGCTCTATATATCAGAACACATACATTATTCATCTCCTATATACATTCATATCTTTTTACACAAATAAATTGATATCGTAACTCTCAGAACGCCGATGAATCATTTATATCATCAATTTTTTTGTGCTTTTTTTTTCATTATGAGAACATCATGCAATAAATTTGGCCTTGGCTCGTTGCACACACAAGCGAAAGTACTAACTGTGGATGGAGAAATAGACTGTAATTTGAAAACTTCATAGAAGAATTAAAAACTTAATTATGCATCTCATAAAACAACACACATACATTATTGCGTAGTTGAACGCACATTTAGTGTCTACAAATTGTACTTAATTAATACAATTTCAATGAATATGGCGAATTAGACAAATACAAGTTGGCTCAAAATGGCATGAAATGTGAAGTGAATTATTGCAATATATAGCATGTAATTGGACATCTCGCAATCAATTTCTAATCATTTTCGCTTCTCTTTTTATTGCTCGCAATGCGATTTTTATGTTTCGTTTCCTTCTTTTTTTCAATATTTTTTATGATATTTTGTCGAAAGTTATAAGAAGTTGAAATGCTATTCATTCCACAGATTATTGTTTGATTCATTCAAAAAAAAGAGATGAAAATTATAATGTTTCTCTTCTCGCTGGCTATACACCGTTTTAGCATTTTTGATGACAGATCATTTTGCATAAATGGAATTTAAGTATCATTTTTGTGTATATTTATTATTTCTCGTGTTGAGAATGGATGGGCCATGACGAGATTATCGTTTTTGAATGAACTGATTGTTCTTCTTGACTTGACTTATTCTTTAACGGTTTTCAAAAATTTAAAGTCCAATTTTTAAGCTTTTCATTTGTTTACAAAAACTAGGAAGTGATTAATCACTTCATTTAGCTTGAAAACAGTACTAATCTGAAGTGAAAATTTATTAATTTGATGAACATTCAATCATTGCTCACTACCCAATGACTATACTCATGAATCTCAAGCTATTCACTTCAAAAATTGAAAATAATATTTTCGAACCACTCAGCATAAATTTCAAATTATTAATAACCGTTATTTTCCAAATTTTTTTGTCGGACCCAGAAGTCATCAAAAAACATGTAGAAAGAAAAAGAAAAATTAATTTCATACCTCCGGAATCTTAGAAGAGAAGCAAAACAGCCAAGTTGGTGATGAAACTTGTTTTATATGCAAATGCTAATGTCTAGAAAGGTAATTTGCTGTTTACCGTAGAATATCCTACTGAATTTGATTTTCATATAATCAATTTAGAATAAATTAAATCGGCCAGTTCCTCTGGAATCCACTTATATACATTTAATTTGTCACTTAATCACTTCCACAATTCAATGGACCCTTCTTGCTTCTTTTTATATTGACACTTATTTTATCATTATTGAATGTATGAAGAACATGCAATTGATGCCTTCGAGCGAGTAAAAGGTGTACGAGGAAAGGAAAAGAAAGAACCAAGTATATAAATTGCTTTCAATTGTTCGACGACTCGCTTAATATTTCTGTTCACTGAATAAATCTTTCTCTTTCAAACAGGAAACATCTCAAGGATCCTTTATCCTTCTTCCATGCACAAACTATTGCCACTTTATCAAGGATATTTTCCACTTTTCTTACACATGAAAATCAACACGAGTAATTCTTATATATAACTCTTAACGCACGATATTATACTCGAGAGAACGATACACAAAAACGTCTTTACTTCGTCGGTGCTTATTATTGAATGAATTGTGCACATTGTGGTGAAACGTTGCTGCTTTACTTTACATTTTCTATCATTGTGTGTGTGAACTCACCATTTATTGCTTATTTTTTCGTACATTCCATATTTTAAGCTTAAAGTTGGTTGATTAAGTGAAAATAAATGTATTCTGGAAGTTTCAGGAATATCCTTCGAAGGATAAGCGAGTAAATCAGCAATAAACATTAAAGCGTATTTTAAATTTGAATTTTTATACACCACGCCACAGTGTTCTCACCAAAATCGTGTGCACTTTTTGGGATTGTTCATAAATTTTATATTTCTTATATGGGGTTAGGGGTTCTTGAAATTTATATGAATGTTGAGGAGGAGTTTTAAAATTCCAGTGGACGTCATTTATGAACAACCTTAGCTCATTATCAGTAGTAAAAAATAAAGATTTTTGTTCGATTCCTTATTTTTTGATTTCTTTAATTTCTGTCGTATTTCTTAGTTCAATTTAAATTATTTTGGTGCTAGATTATTCAGTTTTTGCTATCATTTAATTATTTAGTGAAATAAATCCGTAGAATAAGATGAAATAGGTGCAAAATAATATATTAAATTATGACTTCGTCACTTAAAGAAATTTTGTTGGAAACAACAAGTGAAGGAATTAGTGAACAGCCACTGATTGAGTGGTCACAGGACTTGCAGCCACTCCATTGTCAAAAGGATGCCTTAACAGACTTCTTTGGATGGATATTACAAATAATATTGGCTGGAATTGCATTCAGCTGTCTTATTGGTAAGTCTTAAGTAATAATCAATTTATGGTATTAATGGGATTACGTCTATGCTTTGTGCTTTGTTTTATTACTTTTTGCATGCAATTTTGGATAATTCTTTTTGCATAGTTAGACATTACCATTAAACAAAACGTTTTGATGCTTATTTACAGCCAAAAGATATTGTGAACCAAAATACAGACGAAGACCTTGGAATATTTGGTGGTATGACACGAGTAAGCAAGGAATAGGAGCACTTGTAATTCATATGACTAATGTCTATCTTTCGCCATTGTATCATGGCGATCCATGCACTTGGTAAGTTAATAGAATTTTTGATTATAGCCAATTGACATTATCGCTTAATTCCACTTGATTTATTTATTCATTGAAACAGGTACATAATCAATTTTCTGTTAGATTCAACCATAGGTTTATTCATAATTTATGTAGGAATAAGAGTTTCAATTTACTTAGCAAAAGTAAAGCATTGGCCAGCAATTGAATTTGGAGAGTATAGTAAGTGAATTTAAATTATTAATGCTACACAATGGAAACTGACGTTTCATCCTTTATGAATTTTTTAGACGTACCAAAGAGTTGGATATATCAGACATGGATTTATGTCCTTTTAATGATGATAGTAAAGTTACTAACAACGTTAATCATTCAAATGGACATGTGGAATTCCGTTAAGAAAGCTATACTATCTCCATTTAAGAATCCCAAAGTGGAAGTTATCATAGTTATGCTTATCATTCCATTTTTCGTTAACGTTCTTATATTTTGGATAACTGACAATTTCTTGATGAGAAATAAAAAGCATTTCCTCGGGCATCATCAATTGCGATCATCAAATGTGTCTGGAAAGAAAAGACGTGGAAAAAGTATTTTAGAGAAAGTCAGAATCAGGTATAGAAACGATGAGATGCATTCAGATTTTTCTGATTTAATTTCGTCTGAAGACGAACCAATCATTCAGATACATGATAAACTACAAAGTGCCAACAATACAACTAAAATTCAGCAGAGGTCGAGCAGCATACTAGGATGATATTATATAGTTTCGTATAGTTTAAATCGTTTGTGATATTATGAGGCCTTCTGCATCGACAAGATTAAAAGAAAGAGAGCTTACCATGAATTATTCTCTACAATCAATTGATTATAGAATCAATAATCGTCATTATTTCACCTGATAAAGTCAATATTTTGGAACTGATACATAAAGTTTTTAATTATATCGGATATTAATCATGTATATAAACATCTGTATGCAGCATACAGCTATTATTTTTTTGTTATATGTTAATAAAACTGAGAAATGCAATCTGTTGTGCTCATTATTTGCTGATACTCACTACTTTGAAGTCACAACGCAAAAACTTCTGACTCCTATTTGCAGATATGACCCAAAAATCATTCTATTGACTTATCAGCTGTGCAATTTGCCTATTGCTTGTCTATACAAATTACAGCATAGTGAAATGTCATGGCCACAAACATCGTCGTACCTTCATCTTCTTCATCCATTCGTGATGACTCATTTTGCATATCTGTGAGAAAAAGAGAAAGTCAGACTTAATGCAGGCATTGCTTGGATTGAATAATAAAATTAGGAATATATTGGCAAGTCATGTGGGTTCTAAGAATATCTGCCTACTATTTTGTTTTATGAAGGTATTGATCTTGTTATATTTGTTGACTGACTTTATTTCCATGAATTTCAAGAATTTCTTAAAACATCCAGTAAAAATTCTAGGAGGAGGCAATCTAAATTTCTGTTGCATATAAGTTTGAGAGTCTTCGAACGAATATTTACGTACGAAAGTTGTTTACATCGTCGGCGACGAACAATTTTTTGCAGCACGTAAAGTTATTATGCGATTGAGTGTGTTTTTATTGCTTGCTAATTTGAGGTACTATTGTAGAAACATGAGTGATACATTTGTTTATCAGGTACAATAACAGTCATTGTCATTTCCTTTCGCCAAATATGATAAAATTAATGATTCCAATTCTTAATTAGAAAAATTCTGCGTCTGCTTGCTTTATAACGGTTCCAAATATTGAACTAGCAAAGAAGCTTGCACATGGGATTGTGAGTAATAATTTAGCAGCATGTGTCAACATAATTCCTGGATTGACATCGGTTTATAGTTGGGAGAATAAGATACAGGAAGACAATGAACTTTTATTGATGGTCAAGACTAAAACTAATAAAGTTGATGAGCTATCCAAATTTATTAGAGAAAATCATGAATATTCTGTCGCCGAAGTAATCTCAACACCTATTGAAAATGGAAATGCACCGTACTTAAAATGGATTCATGATACTGTTCCTGAACCAAAAGAAAACGAATAAAATGATAAATTAAAGAAGAGATATTATTAACGGTTTTTAATATTTTAAATAATTAACACGGGGTAGGTTTTACGATTTACAACAACAAAGAAGAAGAAACAGTCGAATAAAAAATAAAGTTTTAATAAATTTACAGTGTTAATCGAAGCTATTTGTTTAATTAAGTGTCACATAATAATCTCAAATGTAAGTATAATACGTGGAAATTAAAGGTAGACTAGATAAACATCGATTACACAAGAAAAATGTGAAATTAAAATTTTCTAGAAATAATTTGCGTATTCCATGAAAATTGCATTCTTATTATTTGCTTCTATTTTTATCAAAAAGACTAAAGGATGACAAGATAGAAATGAATTAATAATCATTAGTCACTGATAGAAGCGCATGAGAATTATGCAATAGCTTAGCTTGTGTTGACTCTCGATGATTTTCTTATAAAAATTTTCATCATCATTTGACTTTTTAAGTTCTACACAAGCATAACTTTGTTATTTTCATTAATACCTATAATGATATTTCAGGGTCAGTAACAATAAAAACCTAAAGAACGAAATAAATAAAGAAATGAGTAACATAGGAAATGAAGCAAAGGGATTCTTAGAACGTTTTATTGGAGATGTCAGTAAGAAATCAGCAGCAAAACAGATCTTTATTGGCACTTCAACAGGCTGGTAAGCATTGACCTCAATATTTTTAAGTCTATAAAAGGAAAAATTGCATACAAGGTTGATTTTCAGGGTAACTGGATTTCTAACAATGAAGGTCGGAAAGATTGTTGCTGTAAGTGTCGGAGGTTCCATAATTTTACTCCAAATAGCTGCAAATGAAGGATACATCACAATTGACTGGAATAAAATTACGAGTAAAGCTAACAAATTGGCAGATAAAGCTGAAGAGGCTATAACAGGAGAAGGACCTTCATGGGCTGATAAGGTAAATATTAATGACTATAACATGTATGATTCTGGATGTCATTCATTCCATATCCAGTAATCATATACTAGATTCGATCTGAAAAGTCATGCAATTTATAATCATGTCCAATTTCAGATCAAATCTTTTATGAAAGATAATTCCTATGCAGCAACATCCTTCGTCGGCGGATTTTTAATAGGGATCTCATTCTAGTGAAGTGAGCTAGCTAGCTTAACGATTCAAAATTTTTTCTTTTTATATTTTACGCGAACGGCATTTCTTCTTCATTTATTATTATGTATAGACCTTAGAAACGAAAGAATAAATTCTTTTTAATTTAAATATTATTACGATCGAAAATATCAGGAATTAGAACATGATTATTTTTTCAAAATGGGAATTTCCTTTCAGCTGTTAAATTGATCATGTCACATAAATAACCAAAACTTCTGTCTTTTGCAGGCCGATAGATATCTTGATCGTAAATTGGATCAGGCTGAGAATTTATTGAAGAAGAAAGGCAAGTCAGCAAGAAAATGGTATACACAATTGGTTGGAGACGAGAACGGACCGAAATTGAATGAACTTCACATTTTTATGCTCTCATTTGCTGCTGGTGTAGCGATTGGCATTGGAACTGCTTAAACATACTAATCATAAAGCAATGAAAAATTGTCTAGCCACGAAACAATTTAGTCAACATTTTTGTCGGAACCAAAAGTGAACTCTATGTCTGTTATCCAATACTCTTTCATTTCATTCTTATTAATTAGTACACTCCTTTGTGCCTCTCGATTTTTCACGTACTTAAGTCATTAAACTTCTTCGGTTCTCATCTTGTAAATTATTGCGTTGTTTAATTAAGTTTTAATTTTTACATTTGATGAATTTAAGGAGTGTTTTTTTTTTGTCCATTCGACATACATACCCTATTCTGTTTATACAGCAAGTCTTTGTTAATATTTTATTTTTCTGTCGAATTTTTAAAATTTATATTAAACTTATCAAGATTTATTGTATTGATAGTATTGTCGCTTATTGTCGCGTATTAAGAACAAAATAAAGAGAATAAAATTTTAAAAAATTATGTCCGTTGTGTGCCAATGGACTTAATTTAAAGAATAATGTGTTAAAACTGTATGTTTCTCAATTGTATCATAAACTAAGAATTTGGTTAAATGAGATGTAGGAACAGGTCAAGAATTATGAAGGTAAAATGAGCCATTGGAGCACGAAATTTAAGTTGATGACATAAATGTCCATGACATCATAGATTCCGAACAAACCTCTCTCAATTTTTTGTGTTTGTGTACGAACTTTTTTATCTAATTGAAAGATAACGATTAACTTATTTCTCCTTTCCGCAGTATGATTTGAAATTGTCACCTATTAACAGCTGTTATTTCGCGTCTGAAAAAAAGAATGGAAATAAAAAGTTTGCCAAATGAACTTCAAGAGGAAATATTCACATATCTCAATTGTAATGAATTAATGGCTATGATGCTAGTGGATAAATATACAAAAAGTATTATTGAAAGCTCGCCAATATTGATGAGTAATTTGCCGATACTCATTATTGATGAGGATGAATTCTACGATGACAACGAAAGGTCTATTGAACCCATTTTGGAATCGACACGTCGAGCGACAAAGATTGTTATTAAATTGAAAAGAGATAAAATTATGAAGTATTTGGTGATTTTTAAAAAGTTTAGTGACACAGTTCGGGAATTGGAAATTCATGATTATGGATTTGAGACAATCGATCAAATGAGAATTGTATTGAGGCATTTGTACAATCTCAAGAGGCTAACTGTGATAAATGTAACGTTCTTAAAACCTGAAAATGAATTCCTCAATTCTATTGTTCAAGTCCCAAAACTATCAATGCTTGAATTACGCGAAATAAACTGCGTAAATACCGACGAGAAAATGTTCGCGCTCTTTGCAAACAACTACGACATTCAATTACGAAAGATAAGGCTCAAATGTGATGGTCGGAATACATCTAACTGCTTAGATTTTTGCGAGATGATGACTCAACAAGCTTACGTGAAGTCATTGACATTTGAAAATGTGACGTCAAAAAATTGTAACATTTTCAATTATGAGAATTTCCTTCAATGTCAATTGAGGCATTTGGAGATAGTGAACTGCCAGTTGTCGAGAGAACATATGAAGGTCATGCTGAACATGATTAAAAATCAACAGAATTTAGAAACAATTAAAGTTATCAACACGCCGATTCCATCGTCTCTCGATATTATTTTTGTTTATCGACAAATGTTTTCAAATCCGATAAAGGAAGTGCACGTGGATATAAATGACTTGTCATTCTTTCACAGTCATAGCTTTACGAATCGCTCGATTAGAAACTTAACAATTCACGGGAATTTCGCATTCGAAAATCTTCCAATTTTCATCAATTTCATCAAAATCTTTCCAAATGTTGAGCATTTAAAGCTAGTCGGTGATATGCCAATAAGCGATAAATATTTATTTCATATTTTATCAACCTTTTCCAATCTCGAAGAACTCTCCATACCCGGCTTCACATCACGTACTATCGATTCGAATTTCTCAAATCTCTCATGTCTCGATGTTAAACTTAAAACCTTAATTCTCGATTACATTGATTATGATGTAAAGTTCTTCGGATGGAAAAATATTGTGAGCAATGTGAATTCGATTGAAAAGCTGATTATAAAGCGCGATTACTGTAACGTATCGAATGAAATTGTTGATATTATAATTAAGAAATTAAAGCTAAAGCATCTAGAACTTGGATGTGGAGTTGTGTCTGAAGATATTCTACGAAATATAGTGTACAATAATTGTGCTGATGAACTGAGGGTCCTGAAAATTACACAAAGTGATTTCGATAAGATTAAGTGCATTTTTGATTTCAATAAGCTGTTCAAGAGTAACAGATTGCTGCTATCTCTATGCAATGATGGATATTTCGTTAAATGATGTCAATTGTGATTTTTCAGACTCACCACTTCTACCCACTTTTCATTTAAGAATGTTACACAACTTTATACTCTTAGGTTGGACTACTCCATAGTAAACAGCTTATAGTAATTAAAACAATAATTTTTCTTTTATATACGTCACAATTTTCCTTTATTTCCTCTGGCCCTTATTTAAATAATGCTTTATTCCCTTTAAATTATCTTTTTAAATGCTTTATGATGATTTTTCTTTCTGTTTAATAATATTTAAATAACATCCATTTTCAAATAAATATCAGTTTTAGAAGGTTATGAATTAGTCTATTAAATTATTAGTGCTATTTTTAAGAAATGTGAATCAAAATTAGAATTAAGTCTTGAATTAAAATTTTGTGTTAAAGAAATCTGAATGGTTCAAAGATCTTCATTGACATTCCTAAAAGAATAACTTCTTGTAGGCATCATTATGGACGATTACATCAATGTTGATTGACTACTGTCAACTGATAAATATTTAAAGAATTGAAGCTCGAACAAATTTTCAAAATTATTCAGAATCATCAACTTTGCAGTTTTTTGATGAGATTTCATTCGAGTGATTTATTGAATATGAATTTTAAAGTGTTATATGTCCAATACTGGTTATATTGAGTGATATTTTATAAAAATAATACAAAAGAATCCATAAAATAAAGGCTAAATTAAAGATATTTGATTAAACTGATTTTCATTTAAGAGATTTCCAAAGTTAAGGTTGAATTTGTGTCAAAAATAAATTATATTTTAATCAGAATTTTGTCTTATATTTTTCCAATAACTTCTTTTTGTCATAAAACTTGAAAATTTGACTTTCAAATCGTTTAATATTTGGAAGAAAGTTTGAGATATAGTCATTAGAATGTCTTAAATTTCCAATTATTTATTATTATTTTCACTCTTCTATTAATAGCTAAACATTTAATTTATTATTTATTTATTCAATTTGTCAATAAACACATGTAAACCACGAATAATTTGCTTTTTAATATCATTTTTCATTCCTTTTTCTTTCTTTTTAATTTTCCTACATTTAGACTTTTTATTTTCAATAAGTTTATCTGCTCGAAAGGAAGTAACAGTTTGTCCAATTAAGATTTCACAATTATCCTAAGATTATTATTATTTTTTTGTTTCTTAAATCTCTTTTTTTTTTATCACCAGATTCCAATTTTATTAGTTTTCAAATTTGATTATATAATCTTCAAATAAGAGTTGAAAAAATAGGAGAATCCAAAATTTTTTAATTGATGAATTTTCACAATGAACGACAATTTGTTCTATACTCGAATTTAGAATGATTTTTTTTTCTTGTGACATTTAAGTTAAATATGTTTTTGCTTTCATTTTATAATGTATAAAAATATATGAAATTACTTAATTACCTGCATCAATTTAAAGAAGAAAAGGATCGAATGTATTGCAAAAGAAAAAAACTTTTTACAATACTTTCAGATAATTTTATATGCAAGGCTTCCGTAATTCAAGGAAATATTATAATCTTTAATAGCCTTAATGCTAAGAGTATTAAATATTATAATCTCCGGAAGCCTTGATTTTTATATTATTTTTTTGAAAGATTTCTGAGGTTTGGAAAGCTTTTTCTAGGAGCAAAATAGAATCATTTACTTCCCCAACTCTAGCTATTCTGTCTGCAATTTAATAGATTATTCAAATTCGCAAACAAGATAATGATTGATTTTATAAATTAATTAAAATTAATAGATGCTCTTAGAAGGAATATAAAATGATTCTCATTTACTCCAAGAAAGAATTTCAAGCCTCATAAATCATTCTCAACTTTGTTCACATTTTAGAATTTTTTTATATAGATTTTTGTCATTATTTCTTTTTTCTAAGAAGAAAGAAAGTTTTTTAATTCACGAGAATTTCTTGCACATCAAATATCTTGTTTAAATATTTAAATTTTTTTTCTTTTAAATGCTTTTCAATAAGCGCATAGATCAACAAAATTTTCATTTTTTTACTCTCAATAGAATAAGCATCAACTATACGCATCAACAATTATACTCCCTAAAGATTTCAATAAATTTTGCGTTATTTAAAATGTTTCAATTAATGATGATTATTGCACATTTTCACTTGCTATTTCATGCTCTTTAATTATTCATTTCGCATTTAATATATATATATATATATTTTTTTACTGCCATCAGTTCAATTTATACATTTTGTTCTTTCAATTTTTAATAATCTTTAATTTAAATTTTGTTGTATTTAGTATTTTTTCTTCAATGAGGGATTGTGACAGTCTTCTTTTGAATTCCCAGGTACCTGTTGAAGAGATATTGGAATAGTAATCATTGCAATAATTTCTCCATATTAGGTTAAAAGCATAGTTTTCAATCACGTGGTTTTATAGAGTTTTTATTAAAAAAGATAAATCTCTGTTTTTAAATTTTGGTGGGAACTTGGAATTGATGCTAAGTTTTCAGTGTTTAGTCAATTTAACAGTTTGAATCAAGGCTCTCGAAGATTATAATCTTTTAAACACGAAGATATTAATGGTTTAAAGGTTTAATCAAAACAGAAAATATTATAATCTTTAATAATCTTTCATACAAAGATTATTGAAGATTTTAATCTTTCTATGGTATGATTTAAAGAATATAATCTGCGGGAGCCTTGATTTGAAAGATTAATTCATCAAATATCAAATTGACAAACTTATCAATATTCTTATAAATCCAGGTACAATCCCAAAAAAGTTTAAAATTATTGAAATTTGAATTGTTTACAAATTCTGCGATAAAATGTGAAATAAACTGTAAACTAAGTTCGAAGGAAAGATATCCTTACCATGTGACAAAAAATTTTCCGACCGCAAATGTTATTTAGATGAGATTTCACTTTAATTCGATACTTTTATGCATATCTTTATGGTGAATATTGTTATTATGTTATTAATTCCTCGATTAAAAGAATGACTTGCGCTGCTTTAGGTAAGTGTTACGCACCGGTGATGACAAAGTAAGAGTCTCATTGCTGTATTAATAAAATAAATGAAGTAAATTAGATCTTGAACAGTATTAAGATACATAAAAATATAATAAATCATAAAATAAATGCACAAATATTCGTCAAACAATATATTTTAAAAGGATAAAGTGCATCGGAGTGTATCACACAACCTTCACGAGTTTTGTTTCCGATTTGGGAATCAAAAGTCTTTGCTGTGGATAAAATTTCGTGCAGGTTTAAAAAGGACCTTAAAAAAAATCACTACAACTGTCATTGGACTTTGCAATTTTATTTTTGGGATTTTGTTCACTATCCATTCATGATATTAAAGAACAGAGAATAAATTCAAAAAATAATTGTTCAATGGTTTACAATGACAAAAAAGTTAATACAAACCTCTTCGCGCGATGCATTCTCGCTTGCGAACAAAAATTTTTAATGCTATGGATTTTTTGGAGTTTTTTCGTGAGTGATTATAATTGTTTCGTGGTCTAAGGAACGTGCTGAACTATGGCCTTTATTATAATTTTTTTATACATTTTATTTATTGGTCATTTTTCATTTTTAATCATTCGTGATGAAGAAAAAGAAAACAAAAGAAGAAAAAAATCAAAAAACACACACAAAAACATTTTCATCTGATTAGATCTTTTTTGAATTTTCGTTTTAGTGAGAGAGGTGTTAAGTATGTGCCAAAAAAGTGAGGTATTTATTTTTGGATTATTAGAATCATCATCGAATAGTTTAAAGGCAGTTTCAGAATCATGGATGTTCAATATTGGTGCTAGGTTTAATGTTAAACTGGTAAAAATAAAATTTCAATCTATTCTGAAAGGCAATTGACTAGCTACGAAGTAAGGATCTCTGGAATCATCGTTGTTTTTATGTTAAGGATGATATTACGATAATAACCTAAAAATTCTTATTCTAGGGCCTGAAGTGACAAAAACACTTCCGAACAGTGTTGCAAATGTAGATGTCTACACTAGATGAAGAATGTAGATTCTTCAATAGTTTTTGTCTAGCTAAGAAACTTACTTCATAAAGATCAATTCTACATGAAGATAGAAAATCTAATCTACACAAAGATTATTTCTACATAAAGATTCTGTCTACATAAAGATTCGATGTAGATGTCTACAATTCTACATTTTTTCCAGGTCTACATCAGAGAAGAATGTAGAATTGTAGACATCTACATCGAATCTTTATGTAGACAGATTCTTTATGTAGAAATAATCTTTGTGTAGATTAGATTTTCTATCTTCATGAAGAATCGATCTTTATGAAGAAATTTCTGTCTCAGAATTTATCTGATCCAGACAAAAGACCAGAATGCAACACTGCTTCCGAAGCAATAGTTAAACATTACGCTAACGTTTATAGGATAAACCTCGATTGCAAAGGATTGATTTAACAGAATCAATGTATCAGCGACATCTTGGCAAGTTGGTCGCAATTGCCATCTCAAAGAAACCTAAATTGACTTCCTTAGATGCCCTAGTACCTATATTGAACACCATAAGTCTTCAAAACAAAACAATTTTTGTACGAATGTAGAAGCAAATTAACATGCAAATTGATCGAAAACTTTACAGAAAAAGCAACAAATGAAGTAATTGTAGGGAAAATAAGAATTAAAATGTTTACAATTTACTTACATGAGAAGAATAAGTGATACCATAGATTACTCTCAAAACTTAAATAAAAGTAGACTAAAAAATCGATTCTAAGGAAAAGGCTCACAACAAATTTGTAATGATCTTAAAGGACTTCGATCGCGTTTTCTAAAGAAACTGAGCTTGCTACAAAAACACATTCAAGGAGGGAAGACATAAAATAAGAACAAACAACACGATAAAAAAAGAAGGGAAAGAAGAGAACAAAAATTTATGAAAGAGAAAAAAAATAGAATTGAGGAAGTACATGCAACAAAGGAAGGAAATTTTTTCTTGATAGCCACAAACAATACGGAACTAAAGACTTGTCTTAACATCAAAAATAATTGCCACATAAATCACATACCTTCTTCGTCGCATATTAGGTGTATGTCCAGGAAGATTAAAGCATCCACGAGGAATAACCATCCTTTGATTACCCTGTGCTGGTCGGGAGCCACCATGTGCCATTAAAATATTTAAATGAGCTGCGTAACCGTCTGTTAAAGGAGTCGCGAGAGGTTGAAGTTTTTTGGATACCTTTATAGGTAAAGTTAATTATTATATATGCAAATAAATAAGGCAGTAATTAAAAGCTTACCTTGCCAACAATGAATATCTGTTTGGGTTTCAGTCCAATATTCGTGTATACACTTATATCCTTGTTACTTCCATAGCATGCATGTACTACAAGACCATGATTTTGTATTAAATTATTCAGATAGGCTGCCTTATGTCCCAACGGATCGGTTGATAATCCATCAGCAAATGATACCAGACCTTTTATGTAAAATATAGATGCTTAAAGCCTTTAAATAATGAAAAATAAAATGAAATTAATTACCATGCGGAAAATTATGTTGACTCAACCACGACACAACCCTTTGTTGTTGCATGTCTGGTCTACCCGTGATGTAAATCAATAGATAACCTAATTCTTGCCAATGACGGCAAACGTCAACAGCTCCAGCGCGAACTTTTGGATCCTTGCCAGTAACCGACATCGATGCTGTAAATGAGCCATCAATAGAGAACACAACAGCTTCAGTTCTTGGTGGTACGACAGTTAAATAAAAATCAACACTCGTATGATCTCCTCGAACGACCATTTTAATTGGATAGATGCCATATCCTACACTCATATCTTCCGGAATTGTATAAAGGACTCTTCCTGTTTTATCAGTTATTTCCGTTGAAATTAATGTCCATTCACCAGCGGGCGGGTCCTTCATAATATGAATATCAACTTTCTCGCCAGCCAAAGTAATCATGTCAAGTGGTCCGTACATAAATCTAGCCATCAACTTTTGCGCCTCACCTTCCTTTACAATAACGTCATTGGCTCGATGATTGGCAGCAACGTTCTTCAACTTTACACTTGTACGCTTTTTATTCCACTTTTCTCTGGCTTGACCAGGCTTAAATGATGAACACTCCTTTATTTCATCGCCTCCCAAGGCATTCATATCGAATCTTCCAATTTGTCGTAGAATAAATGCAATTACATCAGAACTTTCCCAATAGCTTGCATGAAATAGATGTGGAAGTGCATGAGCTGGAAAATTTGATAAACCATCTGGGCAGTATAAAGCATAATCAAGTCTTTTTGATCCCCACCAACGTTGCTGTAATGCATTGATTGTGGTCAATGGAACATTATCAATTAAGCCTGAATGATTTGATTGAATGCTAATATCTGATAATCGACGAGGTGTTGGTAAGTCACTAAACATATGTGGACTTGTTTGTATTAGCTCTAATAAATGATATGGCTGACCATTTCCTAGCGGATATTTTGCATATCGTGGAATATTTATAGGAGCCAACATACTAAATCGTGCACTTATGAGTGGTTCTAAGCGTGCACAGACTGGATCTGTTGGATGAAATAGATTATAAATTTGATGACATTGAGGTCTTGTTGCACCTAATTTTGTGTCCATTAAACGTCTTGATGCAAGGATTATTGAAAGCGGTGAACCAAATATGAAAAAGTCTCCAACTTCAAATTCAAGCTTTGGCAGTCGACATTCACTTGTTGAGGATGAACGTCTTCTTTGAGATGGTGCTGTCAATAATCGATTTGCATCAAGATCACTATGTTCAAAGTCTAAGGCATCAAGTACACTTCCTTCACTCCCATTGCGATTTGATGATCTACATAGAGCGTCATGTGCTAATATTGATCCAATACTGTCACCAATCACCACAACCTGTCCATTAAATCCTCTTCCATCATCAGATTTTAGAAAATCGTTATAAATTTGATTAGCTGTTCCTACTGCTCGATTGACGGAATCAATAAAATCTTGAGTACATGTTGTGAGCAATGGAATGGCACCGATTGGAATATCTGTAAGATTTGGAAGATCAATTTGCGACGGTGATGTATCAAATGAGTATGGAGATAAGCTTGATAATATTCCTAATGCATCTGTACAAACTGGTGGACAGGCGACAAGTTTTATCACAAAGTGTCCAACCAACGACGGATAATGCTGTCGAGCAACACTTTCCATTGCACCACGAAAAGTTGTAATATCAGATTTTTTGGATGTTAAATCAGAATTGGCTTCTAAACAGCTTCCAGCATGAAATACGAGAATTAATACAGATGTTGAACATGATGATGGTCCAGGGGAACCGGGCGGAGAATCTCTTGAATGTGATCGTTCAATGCTTGGACTTGGACCTAATTGACGCCTTCTAGTTCCACGTTCGGATGCAACACGTTTCAGGTAATCATGTGAGAATATTGTATCCTCATGTAACCTAGCTGTTTGTGGCGGTGATTCTTCTTCTTCAGCCAACAATTCCAATGAGCTCCACTTTGTTAACGTATTTGTCTCACTCATGTCTATAGTTTATGAGGTTAGAGGAAAATGTTTATAGACATTAGTTGGGACATTAATTAATGACAAAAGGTTGAGAATTAGAAAAATAAATATTACATTTAAAAGCATTAAAAAATACCTCTTAAAAACGGTTTATTAACTAAAAGACCGACATATAGTTTTGGAATGTATGTAAGGGTGTAAAAAATATTAGGTTTAGAAAGAAAGAAAAAGTTAAAGTGCACTTAACGTTGTTAATTATAATCAAACAATTATTAAATGAAATAATTTGCTAATCAAGCTGTTTTCAAGACAACCAGCAATCCAGTTAATATTGATGTCTTGAAAACAACTAACGTCAATCCAAAAATTATAAAATTTTGACTTCATCAAACAAATTTGTCAATAAAATCTCACCTAGACAGTCGAAGAATTCTTCTTCAGATCCTGATTTAGATTCCACTTCCAATTTCTCCATTCTCCAATTTGCGACCTGTCAGAAAATACTTTTATAGTCAACTAACAAAAGACGAGCAAAGATTATCAAAATATTTACATGAAGATCAAAGCTGTGAGCACTGCCAAGCGGTGACGGTAAAGCTCCCTTCGAACCAAATTGAAATTTTGAATTTCCCATTGTTCCACTGTGCCTCTTTGCAACAACAACCTGTTGCTTTTCACTTTCTATTTTATCTTTCTCATCTTCATCGTCGGAACTGGCATCGGCACTTGCTGTATCATTTAAAATCATTTGCACTTGCGGTCTCTTCATTATTTGAGGCGTTGAATTCTCTTCAGTTTTTTCAATGGAATTGAATTGATTGGAGTGACGACTGAGTGTGTCGGATACGCTATGTTCTAGAATTTCAACAGTCAAAATATCATCTTAATAATTTTGTTTTTGATTTAAATATTTTCAAAATAATAAAGCCAATGGATTCATCAATTTATTAAATCAAGGCAGGGAAGAAAAAAAAGGAGAAAGAAATGTATTTATGAGCATCATCTTAACCTTGCATCATTGGAATCACTAAGAATTACTGTGCGTGTCTAAAATGTGCTCATTTTTCATGACTGAATTGTGGTTTAATTTCTGGATTTAGTCCACGAGTCTTTGATTGGTTATTAATCTAGTGTTTTTTCAAGAAGCTCTATTAAAATGTCCATGAACTGATTCAGAAAATATTAAACCAATTCGGTCAATTTAAGTCTCAAACTTTATTAAAAATAAAGTTTAAATCAGCTGCTTACCTTCTTCTTCTATATCCATACCACCATTTCCCATTTTCTTCTGCAGTGCAACTTGTGTTTGTCGTTCAATTTCTCGAACATCATCCATAGAAAGACCGTACCATTCATCTAACCATCCCCATCTGTCGATTTATAAAATAAAGTCTTAAACTTTTTGAAATAAATTTATTCACATGACTTACGCTTGTCTATGTGCTCTAACCATTGTTTTCCTTAGTGCCGTATCGTGAATGAATTTTTCTAATTTTGTCTGCATTCCCCAATATCTGAATTCAACCTTGCACAACTTATAGGCACACATTAATGCCATATTTTTCTCAGTTGGTTGCTTTTTGCCTTTAACTTCAGTCCAATAATCTTCAACCCACGATTCCCACAATGGTCCACGTCCAGTCTTTTCACTAACATATAATGTTGGATCTTCTTCACGAACATAATCAGCACCAGTTAATTGATCCTTTACAATGTCAATTACATCAACAATTCTATTGCGTAAATCACTTCCAGTTAAACCAAAAACATTTTCTTGATATCCATTATCGGGGAAGTAGTAAGTTTCAATTTCGAGGGAAAATTTTTCAACAAATGGACATGTGTAACGAGTTTTTGTGTATGGATATGCATTCCATGCTTCCTCTTCAACGGTGAGTGCACTTTTTGGTAAGAGACTCTTTATCCATCCCGGCAAATGACTTCCAACATGATAAATTTTTCTCGTATATTGTCCACGACCTCCGCCTGGACCGTCTTCATATGGTTCATTAATTAAAATTTCTACACCCGATCCATGACCTTTGCTTTCTTCTCGACTTTTTTTCTGGGGGAAGAAAAAGATATTTTTGAGAAAATTAAGTATCAAAAAGTTTGGACTTTGATCATAATTTTGAAAATTTCGAAATTCATTTTTGAAAACTCGAACTTTTGTTTCCGAAACTTAGAGTAAAGCATAACCTTAAAGAAAGTAAAACTGTTCTCAACTTACGGCAATCATATACAATTGAGCAATCCTATATTCCTCCACAGTCAATGGGAGTGGAATACGATATTCCTTTATTAACATGATGATTTAAATTTCTAACAGAATTTCCTGCTGTATAAAAAAAATTTCCTCCACTTCCTTTGTTGTCAGAATGAGATTCTTTGACTTTTGTATTTGTTACAAATTTTTTTTATGCATCAATATTTGCATAAACTTCCTACATTTTTCCTAATATAATTTTTTTTTGAGAATCTGTAAAGAGAAATTGTATACAAATATTATGAATAGTTTATAAAAATAGAATGCAAGCAATTAAATATGAAAAAAAGAAAAAGCTTTTTTTGCACTTGAATAAGTTTAAAAAAAAAAAAACATTTATGAGTTCATGAATATTTCATTCTTTTGAAGCTAATATTTCGGTCGACTATATTATACACATTCGAAAGGTAAATTGAGATATGTTTATAGCGTTTACCCAAAATGTTGATGCTATTATTATAGCTCACTTGAGTTAATTAACGAGTGTGTTTTTAATACTTTTTTCATCGTGCCATTGTAAAGTTTTTATATGTGTGAAAAGATAATATAATTTCTCTTGAATTATGGGGTTTTTGGGAGTTTAATTCATTGTTGTTTAAAACAGATTTCTAGCAGTAAATTTTTAAGCTAATGGAGAGGTTTGAAATGATATAAATTAAGTCTGAAACCATCGGATTTTCAATACATTTCAATCTTCCCGCCAAAATAATAAATCTAGGAATTTAACATTCATTTAAACAAAATACTTCGAGCTTGTTTAACTTTAAATATTCAAAATATGCTTTTAAAAATGTCACATGATATCTTAACTTGTTTTTAGAAATTCAAATTAAAAGATTGTAACCTCAAAAAAAAACTTACAAAATTGAAATTCTAAACACAAATTTAAAGCTACAATCATACATTCGCAGGTGAGTTTGAAATCACAAAGTCATTAAATCCTCCCTTTTTCTCTCATAAAAGCAGATTAGATTCTAATTTTATTCAAAATAATGCAAAGCGTACAGAGCAGATTTTTCTTATCATTCCATAATTTATTTTTGTTTATCCTACGAATGAATGAGTTTTTCTCTCATTTCCATACAATATGTATTTCCCATAAAGATAAATTAGTAAGTAAACATAAGAGAAAGATGTTGTTTGTCATAAAACAAACAAAAAGTATTTTACTCGAGAAACTAAAATAGAAAAGTCAATCCTTAACTTGATTTGCTCAATATTATTCGTCTCTGATGGAATTTATTATTCTAAGTTATTGTCTGTTCTATTTGTATCTTTATTTTTTATAAATTAGTTCAAGTACGGAAAGATTTAATTGAATTAAAGCTATTTTTTTTGGCAAAATTTCAATGTTCCCGCCATTTTTGAATCTTTTATCAAAAAGTTTTAAAAATCAAAATGAAAAGTCTTTTTGCATTTTAAAGGATGCAAAGACAACAATATTAATCAAACCTTGTTTGCTCACAAATATTAAATCATTTAAAGTTTTAAACACATTGAAAAGATTACAATAAAACCACAAACAGTCATCACCAAATTGTCAATTGAGAAAATTTTCATTTATCAAAAAATTGAAATTTTTCACACAACAAATATCAAAAACCCATCAAATTGAAATCATTTCCGACATGAAACCAAGAAAAAAACTCTAAATTAATTTGGAGCAATGAAAATGTTGAATCATAAAAGCATAAAACAATCAAGTTTTAATTATTTTTCTATGCCAATTTGAATCTATCATGTCTCTCTCATCTTTATGCTCTCATTTTTATTCGATAATCAATGCTTCGTTCTATATCATATATGTCTGTACAACGATTCAGTTGATAGCAACACAAAATATTTGCTATTTTATGAGTTGAGCAATTTGAATTCTCTAGGAATGTTTTCTATGTTCATTGAGTTGTTAAATCGATCTATAGAAAAAGTTTCAATCCTTTTTTACCAGACTATACGCCTCTCACACCCTTTTGTTTTATGCTTTCCTGCTAAAATCGATTGTGATTAACATTAAGTGGCCTGAGAAATATAACAACAAGAATGTAGTTTAATGGAATACATCCATTGTTGCAAATAATTTATGTGTGCCAATTTAAAAAGACTTACGTTTTAAATTGTGTGGGAATTGGAGGGATTTAAACGATGTAAAATTGAAAAAATTAATCTCGTGTGGGTCAGGATTTTTTTAAAAGCATTTTTATCCATAGCTTCTGACACAACTTTGAACTAATGCAAATGTGTGTTGTACAAGCCACCAACAACAAAGGATTTGTAGACAGAAACCCCTAAAATGATTTTCATTTATGCAAATTTCGGGGATTAAATTTATTTTCCCACACATAATTTAATAACATGACATTATTTTCATGAAAGGACAAGCAAGTAGTTGTTGTCTGCACTGTGTCGAACAAGGTTGCAAACCACAAAATAAATTGTACGTGCAAAGTTCACTTCTTAATGTCATTATAGATAGAAGAATTAAGTTTCTATGTTGAGTGCTATAAATTTTCATCATTTTTCAACACAAAACTTTTTCTATGATTTAACCTTCAATGTGTTTTATGGAGTGCGGTAGGAAATTTATTGATTTGTGGTCCGACTCAGTCCTATTTTTCTCACTTTGCAGCTAAAGTCTTTGTCACATAAATTTTCATAAAAAAACAAAGTACTATCAGTTATGAAGATCTAATACATTTGAAACGATGTCACATTGCTTTCATCAAATGACCTCCAATTTAAACGTTTCGGGCATTAATAATAATTTAGAGAATTGAACAAAATAAAACTGTTGACAAGCTTCTTCAAATCAATCAATTATTAACATTGTGATTCAAGTTTCTGAACAAATTTGTGAGAATTTATTTGGAACAAGTTTCGTTTAAAATTCTTCGAATTCTTTTGGTTTCAAAAATTTTAAAACTTTATAAAAATTGCGTCTGAAGAATTTAAAATTTAACTTTGAAACTTTGGCTAAGAAACTTTCCGAAACAAAAGCTCAATAAACTCAGAACAATCCATTCCAATAATAATCCATAATGGTCAATTATAAATCGGCAATAAAACATCAACATCTGATTTAATAATCTACAATCTGGCACATAACAACCGAATTTGGTTCATTTAATAAATTGCAATTAAGAACAATGATTCAAGTTGTAACATCCATTCTCATAATCAATCAAATTGTCAGTGGAAATATAATTTTCCCATCCTTTAGTCATTCGGATATTATAGTCAAAATCATCTGTTGATTTCCATAACAAAAATTTCATGATGAAAATATAGCGTGATAGACATTTTTATTGTAAAGGTGAATAAGTATAATGGCCACTAATGGCAACAGCAATAAAGCTCACAAAAATGATTTAATCATTGTGACAAAGCATTTAGTTAAATTGAACTAGAGATAAACGTGAGCACAAATGTATGAGCATTGCAAATGTGCACTGAATTTGAGATAAGTATTAAATGACTTTTATGTAATCACACAAATACAATGTAATCAATTTATGATGAACATCCCTTCTCATCTTTCCCGTTTCCATATTTTTCTGCTTTACTCTTCCATTTGGCAATATTCCCATCTCGTTGTCGATGTAATATATGTAGAATTGAGAATAAAATGCTCTACATCCTTGAATTATATGACGTACGATGAGAAATTGGGTCTTCTACAATGTAAATGATACAATTCATGTGATATGATTCACATTAGGACTCTTTTCTGTCCTTTTTAAATCTCTAAATGCTCATTTTGTGGACTTATGGGGAAATATGCAAACAATTAAAGAATTCTTTATGTCAGTGTCCTTGATGGTGTTTTGCTGCAGCTTTTGAAGCTTGTTTTGGGTCTGAACTGAGAACTTATTATTTTAAAAGTGAATTCTTTATTGCAGACAAAGCAAAACAACTGATTGCGTTGTTCAGCAAGTTGTTTTGCTGTTTTTCTTGTTTTCAAAGAAAACTTAAATTATTATTGTAGGGTAAACCATGTTGAAATTTGTGTGTTTTTGCATTTGAAGATTTCATTTATAGATGAAAAACCAAGCACGTCCTATAAATATTTTTTCAAAAATTATTCAGCATACATTTTATAGAATGTTGCAGAAATGTTATAAAAAATTAAAGAAAGGAGAATATTTTAACGAATTATATTATGTTTATTTAATTATCTATTTGGGACTGAACACAGAACGTAGTTCTTAAATGGTTTTTTGATTCCTATTTTAATTTTTGAAGTCAGATTCATTTTCTTGATTGTGTTTAAATTTTTGAGTCAAATACATTTTTTATTCCTTTCAGCCCATGTATTATTGGTGTTTTTTCTGTCTTTATTCTCATGCTTGCCTTTAAAAACCCGATTTTTAAAAATAAATAATTATTTTTGTGGACAAAATGTGCCATTGCTTCTTCATCAAAAAGCGCACAAATTTCAAAATTTGTCAAAAAATTTCGCACAAATTCAACATTTGAAAACCACTGATTTTAAAATCAATTTTTAAATGACTTCCAATGACTTTCTTTAAGCAATAACATTTTTAAACGATTAAGCAATAAAGAAAATTTGTTTTTCAACTCAGATGGGGTAAGAAAAATCATTAGCTGTGTCCAAATAATTAAAAAGGTGAAAACTTTCATTTTGTATGGGAATATAAATTTTTCAAATTTAAGGCTGCTTAAGGCTTGAAGACTTTCCCAAATGATGTGGAATCATTTAGATATCAGTTTTACATAGAACTGCATACAAATGTTTAGCATAAATGGTTTATAAGTGATGATTTATTTTTGAAATGAGTGCACAAATTTCAAAATGGTTTACCTTATTTAAAAACAGATTTTACAGCACTAAAATCACAATGCTCACTTTAAAAACAAAAGCTTCCATTTTCTATTATTCCAACGCACTACGAAATTAGTATGAAGCTACAATCCAACATCTACATATATTATCATGTTTCATAGTTATTGTAAAACTCTAGCTGAATGTGTATTTTTAGCATATATTATGAAGACGATTCACCCCATTAACCATTATCTAAGAGAATGCTTCATTTGGCAACTATAAAAGAAAAACATATTCACTTTTATATGTCAGAAACACAAACAATGATGACAAGAATGGCAAGAAGAATATGAAATTCCCTTGAGGATCTACCTTTTAAATATTTTGTGTGTTGTTTAAGCATGTAAAAAGCTTTCATTTTTCTTCCACT